TCTTAAGTTGGAGGTGTGGAGCCTCCATTGCCTCCGGGCCTTGCTCGGCCTCTTGGGAGGTTTGCCACGGTTGGAGGCCATCGGTCTTAGGTTGGAGGTGTGGAGCCTCCATTGCCTCCAGGCCTTGCTGGGCCTCTTGGGAGGTTTGCCATGTTCTAGTCTTCACACGCCCCTTTGGCGGAGTTCGGTTTTTGGAGGCTTTTGGTATCCGAAGGCCTGCAGGCTGCAGCCCTGGTTTGGCTTCAGAGGGTCTTGGGTGTGATAGCGTTGCCGTTTCCTCAAGGCTTTGGCTCTGTGTCACGCTCACATGGCTTCTTGCCGTGAAAAACTCTTGGGACACGGTTTTCTCTGATGTCGCCGTCGATGCGAATGGTGCCACAGGTCGGGACTCTGCAGAAAAGAAATCGCGACTTGAAGGTCGAGGTGATGAAACGTCTACCTGAGCCACGACTTCTTGCCCGAACGCTTTGTCTCCCAAGAAGGTCTGAACAGCTTGGCGTCCAGGTGCTTTGTCAACGTCACGCTCTTTCGGAGGCGTCTTGCTTTTGGAAGGCTTCGGTATGCGAAGAACGCCTGGTTTCACTTGAGACGCTTGCGGGCGGTCTAATGTGGCCAATCCTTCACTTTGCTTTTGCGTCATCCCACTTGCACTGCTTGCCGTGAAAAACTCATCTGCAGTGCCTGCCCGGATTCCTCTGCTTTGGCTCGAGGTTTCTTGATCCTGTGTTTTGGAGCTTGGTGCTTTGGGAAATCGAAGAAACTTCAAGTCCTTCGCCATGGACCCTGAAGCTCGCTTCTCCGAGCCCATGGGTTTCTTGGTCCAAACAACTACTGAAGTGCTTTGCGCCGTCGTGCTTTCTATTTCAAGGAAAGCATTGTGGCTACGAGAGTAGCCAAGTCCTAACAGCCGAACTTCCCCTTTTTCAAGGTACCGGACGCCGCCGCACGCGCCTCTGAAGGCCAACTGTCTGAGATTGCTTTCCTTTTCCGCGGTAGCTCAGGCTTCACTACTCTGGTCTTGATGCCAGCACGAGTGGCAGCATGCGGAAAAATGATGCACAAATGCCCATCGCAAGGACAGTTGCCGTATCGCAGTTCACACGCGTTTTACACAATGTTTTCAATTTGCATTCTGTTCCATGCTGTTAAAGGGCCATGGATCATCACTGATATTAAAGACACTCAACCCTAGCTTTTGAACGAAGTAGTTTCTTTCTTGAGTGGATATTCCGTTGGATTCACTTCCTTAAATCAATCAAGACTACCGTACGCTTTTCTGAAATTCCCCTTTGTTGAACTGCTATACCCTTTGACACCTGATCCAGCTCATTTGTTGATGCCCATGACATTTGCAATCGCACCCCAAATGCCGGGGTCACCCTCCTGCGCAAAGGCACAGCATGATCAACATCAGTCCCATCACATCGACATCGAAGGAAGCAGCGGCCGGCGTGCGAAACCGGTTGAAAGGGAGTAAGCATGAGCAGATAGTTACACAAATGCAAAGAACTAGGAAAAGGTTCTGGGACGGTTTCCGTGGGAGAGCGCTGTGAACTGAGTTGTCTTAGCTGCCTCTTCTTTGTCCTTGAGAACGGCCAAGTCCTGGCATTGATTCTCTCATTCACCCTGTCAATTGGTATCTCTCAAACTCACGCATACTTTTTGCAGCCAGGTGTCTCTGCAGCTGAGACCACCACATCTTAGCTTTCAGATTCCGCAGGGCTGTTTGATGCTTTGCGGACTCTGCTCAAAGGAAAGGCTTTTCGATGACACTTCATGCATCTGAGACATCCGCTTGAAGAAGATGGTGCAAATGTAACCTCTGGAAACCCGGGTTAAAACGCTTCCCAACAACCAGACCGTCCAAAAGCCAAGAACGCTGTGCTCCCATCCCTCTTGGTATATCTTCTTCCTCTTTTTTCTGGTTTCTTCCTGTTGTCATTCTGAATGATTTTGTCTTCCCGATGTTTTGTTCCTCCGCTCTCCGCTCTCCGCGGAAGAGATCAAGTGGCGAGCACCGCGTTCGATGTCCACACCCTTATGGAGCCGTTGGCCCCCGAAAAGGATCCCACCACCTGGACAGTGGACCACTCGTCACAGAAATGTGCCATGTTGAAGCTCTTTGTGTTGAAGCTCTTTAAGAGCTCGAGCTCCTTCTTTTCTGCCTTTCAGCGCTGAAAGTTGATTCTTTGGATCTTCCATCTTGTTGTGGTGTCTTCCTTTTCTTGTAACATCTGGTTTCGCCTGTTATTCCTTTCCACGCGCACGACTGGGCGATGCCGCGGCGGCACGAGGCGAGTGCCTTGTGCCGGACGGTGAAGGCTCCCATCCCGAAATTCGGTGCCACCTCCAACATAGTCCCCCCTCAGCACTAGGAGCGATCGGACGCTATGATCGGGGCTCCTGGCCTTTCTAGGAGCAAGAACGCTACTAGCTTCCAGGTTCCATTCATTTGCCAGTGAAGGATGAATGAAAAATGAGTGTCATGACGATCCAATATCACATCCGAGATTCTCATTTGAGAGGGTGACAATTGCGCTAACAATCGATCCTCGGCCAATCGACCCTTTCTATGCTGAGGTTTTCCCAACACAAAGCAGGAAAGCTCACGCTTCTTCAAACTACCCTGCCCTCACTCAATTAAGTAGGCGCCTACTTAATTAAGGCTAAGGGCGTGCAAAAAAGAAGATGCTTGCAGTGACCATTTCTATGCAAGGTTCCATCTCTGTGAAAGCCCAAACCTCTTTGAGAATCGGTTGCGTACCGAACAATGAATGCATCATCAACTGACACCTGCTCTTTCGGTAGCCTTGGTGAATCAGTGTTCAACAAAGAGTGCACGCGCACACAGCCACGCAGCCATTATCTATCAAAAAGCACATGGCCTTTTCCTGTGCACCTTCCTTCTTCAGTTTCACAATGCACCACGTTGACCAGGAAGCTTGAAGTGTTCTCCAATGCCTTCTATCAGAGGGGCCGCGAGCTTGTCCTACTACAACTGGTGTCGAAGCACGCCAAAAACAAACTAGATTCCTGATTCAAAATCATCTCAAGGCATCATAAGTCAGGACGAATTTACAAACATAGTGACCTCGTGACTGTGACAATGACCTCTCCTGAAAAATCTTCTGGGCGGCCGTGGATTTCAGGTCACGAATCTTGACATCCTCTCAGGAAGCATGACTTTCTCAGCAAGTCTGCAGAAATGGTGTCAACAAAGGATTCGTTTTGTAGCCTGACTTTGATCAACGATCATTTTCGGCCAACGTGCGACGCCGAGGCCGCCCGTGCGGCCGTGCGTGTGGCATTATCAATCTATAGACCCCCGGTGATGCTCCAGGCATCTTTGGCCTTGGACCTCGGCACCAACTGAGCTTTCTTAGCCCAATAAGTCGATTTCCCCGGGGTTCGGAGCTTGGGATGGCAAACTTTGACCATGTGCTTGCGAAGGAAGCCTCACAAAAACAGTTCCAAAGTTGTGCTATGACCGATCCAGTCAGGAATTGGACAACAAATCCAAGAATGGCAAGTCAGGAATGGCCTGATATGGGTTGCAATTGGTAGGCGGTCTCCGTGCAAGGTCTCATCTGCGTTGGTTGAGCAAAGGTAGCGCGACATTTTGGCCTTCAGACACCAAAGGCAATGGCCTCCAACCTACTAGCGATGGCACATCCAGTTTTCTGCTGTGTTATGCAGTCTAGCGATTCACTTTTCAGGCCTTGTCGCCCCAAACATCTCCTGACGGTCTGAGCCATGCAACATCGGCCAAACCACTGCCGCTGCCTGAGATCTGAAGGCTGTCACACCCAGCAAAGGTTCCATCGTTTCTTCTGTGCCGAGGGGGGAGTGGATGGCATGTACCCGTACCGGAGGGTCTTTGGCCCGGCCCGCGGTGCTTCGCCCAGGCGGAAAAGGCAAACAAAAAACGTGCAAAAAAGACACGTCTACAAAGCCAAGGCTCCGCACCTTAACCAATCAACGCCGAAAAGGAAGGATCCAAAAGGGGTTTAAAAGAAAACACTCAGCATGAGCATGTAGGGCTTCAAACAAACATTTCGGCAGCTTCTCCAGTCTATTCAATGTCCACACACGGGAGAAATGCATGGGATCATTGCGGGCCCATTGAACACCGATGGTCAAGCATGGAACCTAATAGCGATGGCCTCCAAACTAATGGCGATGGCCTCCAGTACGATTTCGATGTATCTATATGTATCTCATGTTTTGAGTGCGCGTTACAAGCAGGAACTCCAATTCTAGCCAATGTTCGGGTCTCCTGACCTGTGTCATCAGTGCCACGAGAAACCACTGAGTGATTTGCTCATGGAGCTTGAGTCATTTTCTTTCCCGGCACCCGTGCCCGAAGAGACTCGAGCCAATGCCCATCCCGTCCAAAGGTTCCGACAATACTATCTTCTAGACGGGGTACAACAAATCATTAATGATCAGTTGCTACAGTCTAAGTAGACGACATGCAGTACATATCGGTATGCCCCGCATCACCAGCATTTCAATATTCCTTTCTGAGTGATACGGCGGAGCGACGCGCTCGACCTGTCACATTTCCATGCCGCGGCACAGGTGACATTGGCCAAGAACCATCCATCCTTGTACTTGGCATAAACAAGTTGTCCTGCAGAATCTGGTGATGGAACCGTCTTCTCAAGATGGCCTTTCTGTAGTTCTCCAGATAGGGAGAGCCATTGGGGTTTGCACTTCAAGTATGGGTCTGTACAGCTTCTAGTAGCGCTCTTGCTAGTAGCAGTAATGGCCTTGTTGCTAGTAGCACCTTACTACTAGTAGCTATTTGCTACTAGCTTATAGAAAAAAAGTGCCTGTGTGCACTTTGGAGCTTGGGCCTTGAGTGTTGTTGCCGCTGCAGGGTGCTGCCGCTGTGCTGCCCACACCAAACTTGTATCTGGAATCTATGCTGGCGTAATTTTGAAGAATAAGTCAAGTCTCTTTGGGAAGCTGAAGCGGGTCGACGGTTGCAGAAAAATCAGTGATTCCGTGCTGGTTGAATACGCCGAGCACGGCCTTAAGTGAACATGCGGGGGGGAGGACCAAGAATTAACATGCTGACAGAGGGCCCAAAAACTAAGAAACGCAAAGACAACTAGGGAGTTGAACTTGATCTTTGACACGACTGGGCGCCTGTGCACATGTTTCTTATTAGGGCTGGCAGGCTGGCATTTCCGTCCTTTCCCGCAGCCACAGGACATAAGGCAAAACATATTGCCGGAGCCCTTTTTCATGCCACGTGGACCATCTAAGTAGACCACGTTTGGTACACTGAAGCAAACCCTGCTTTTCTGAAAGGCTTTAACAAGAAGCTACTAGTAGCTTCTGTTTACTAGTAGTAACAAGTGCCACGCTAGTAGTAACAAGTGCCTTACT